TGCACTACTTTAACTGGCAATTGCACAGTCTTGCAATGCTGTATGTAAACAAAATTTCTATAATTTTTTTCCCAACAATAGAGCTTATTATTGTTATATTTCTTTTAGTGATATTTGATCACTGCTGGGTTATTTAACTAAACCCCCCCACCCAAAATTTAGAAAAAAAACCCCAATACTTTCTACTTTCTGCAACAAAATATCCTGTCTGGTAAAGAAAAATCCCAAATAAGCGTATATTGACTGGTTTGCGTGAAAGTTTTACTGTCTACAAACTATAATATGGATACTGGAATTTTTATTTATTTATGTTTTTTATACTAGTAATGATGGTGATCAGCGACTTATAGTGGGGACTGTGGTAGTGTGACGGGCAATCTGACACTAGCTGACGCTGAGGGGAACCGATTAACTGCCACTGACATCCTCACTGAAACGAATACAGTGATCAGTGATAATATTATACACTGTCACTGTACTAAGGACACTGGCTGGGAAGGGGATAACATCAAGGCTGATCAAGAGGTTAAATATGTGCCCATCAATGTTTACTGTGTGGTGTTTTTCACTAAGCAATTTGCTGGTTTTTACTCCCTGCTTTGCAGGGAGTAAAAACCAGAACATCACTGCTCTATGAAGAGAGCTCTGTGTTTACCAACACAAGGCTCTCACCTGTCATTCGCTGAGACAATCAGCAGGTCCCAGCCAAAATCTTTGGAGGAGAGGAGAGTTACAGAGGAAGGAGCGGAGAGTCCTCCAGCAGCGCAGAGTATTTCAATAGAAGAGAGTTATAGAGGAAGGAGCGGAGTCCTCCAGCAGCGCAGAGTATTTCAGGAGAGGAGAGTTATAGAGGAAGGAGCGGAGTCCTCCAGCAGCGCAGAGTATTTCAGGAGAGGAGAGTTACAGAGGAAGGAGCGGAGTCCTCCAGCAGCGCAGAGTATTTCAATAGAAGAGAGTTATAGAGGAAGGAGCGGAGTCCTCAGCAGTGCAGAGTATTTCAGGAGAGGAGAGTTATAGAGGAAGGAGCGGAGTCCTCCAGCAGCGCAGAGTATTTCAGGAGAGGAGAGTTATAGAGGAGAAGGAGCGGAGTCCTCCAGCAGCGCAGAGTATTTAAGGAGAGGAGAGTTTATAGAGGAAGGAGCGGAGTCCTCCAGCAGTGCAGAGTATTTCTAGGAGAGGAGTTATAGAGGAAGGAGAGGAGTCCTCCAGCAGTGCAGAGTATTTCAGGAGAGGAGAGCTATAGAGGAAGGGAGCGGAGTCCTCCTCAGCAGTGCAGAGTATTTCAGGAGAGGAGTTATAGAGGAAGGAGCGGAGTCCTCCAGCAGCGCAGCAGAGTATTTCAGGAGAGGAGTTTATAGAGGAAGGAGCGGAGTCCTCCAGCAGTGCAGAGTATTTCAGGAGAGGAGAGCTATAGAGGAAGGTGCGGAGTCCTCCAGCAGTGCAGAGTATTTCAGGAGAGAGGAAGGAGTTATAGAGGAAGGAGCGGAGTCCTCCAGCCAGCGCAGAGTATTTCAGGAGAGGAGTTATAGAGGAAGGAGCGGAGAGTCCTCCAGCAGCGCAGAGTATTTCAGGAGAGGAGAGTTATAGAGGAAGGAGCGGAGTCCTCCAGCAGAGCAGAGTATTTCAGGAGAGGAGTTATAGAGGAAGGAGCGGAGTTCTCCAGCAGTGCAGAGTATTTCAGGAGAGGAGTTATAGAGGAAGGAGCGGAGTCCTCCAGCAGTGCAGAGTATTTCAGGAGAGGAGAGCTATAGAGGAAGGAGCGGAGTCCTCCAGCAGTGCAGAGTATTTCAGGAGAGGAGAGTTATAGAGGAAGGAGGAGAGTCCTCCAGCAGTGCAGAGTATTTCAGGAGAGGAGAGTTATAGAGGAAGGAGCGGAGTCCTCCAGCAGTGCAGAGTATTTCAGGAGAGAGGAGTTATAGAGGAAGGAGCGGAGTCCTCCAGCAGTGCAGAGTATTTCAGGAGAGGAGTTTATAGAGGAAGGAGCGGAGTCCTCCAGCAGCGCACAGTATTTCAGGAGAGGAGAGTTATAGAGGAAGGAGCGGAGTCCTCCAGCAGAGCAGAGTATTTCAGGAGAGGAGTTATAGAGGAAGGAGCGGAGTCCTCCAGCAGTGCAGAGTATTTCAGGAGAGGAGTTATATAGAGGAAGGAGCGGAGTTCTCCAGCAGTGCTGAGTATTTCAGGAGAGGAGTTATAGAGGAAGGAGCGGAGTCCTCCAGCAGCGCAGAGTATTTCAGGAGAGGAGTTATATAGAGGAAGGAGCGGAGTCCTCCAGCAGCGCAGAGTATTTCAGGAGAGGAGAGTTATAGAGGAAGGAGCGGAGTCCTCCAGCAGTGCAGAGTATTTCAGGAGAGGAGAGTTATAGAGGAAGGAGCGGAGTCCTCCAGCGCAGAGTATTTCAGGAGAGGAGAGTTATAGAGGAAGGAGCGGAGTCCTCCAGCAGTGCAGAGTATTTCAGGAGATGAGTTATATAGAGGAAGGAGCGGAGTCCTCCAGGCAGAGCAGAGTATTTCAGGAGATGAGTTTATAGAGGAAGGAGCGGAGTCCTCCAGCAGAGCAGAGTATTTCAGGAGAGGAGCGGAGTTATTAGCAGAAGGAGAGGAGGAAGTAGCGCCTCCAGCAGTGCAGAGTATTTCAGGAGAGGAGTTATAGAGGAAGGAGCGGAGTCCCGTCCAGCAAAGAGCAGAGTATTTCAGGAGAGGAGAGTTATAGAGGAAGGAGCGGAGTCCTCCAGCAGTGCAGAGTATTTCAGGAGAGGAGTTATAGAGGAAGGAGCGGAGTCCTCCAGCAGCGCAGAGTATTTCAGGAGAGAGGAGTTATAGAGGGAAGGAGCGGAGGCCTCCAGCAGCGCAGAGTATTTCAGGAGAGGAGTTATAGAGGAAGGAGCGGAGTCTACTCCAGCCAGAGCAGAGTATTTCAGGAGATGAGTTATAGAGGAAGGAGCGGAGTCCTCCAGCAGTGCAGGTATTTCAGGAGATGAGTTATAGAGGAAGGAGCGAGTCCTCCAGCAGAGCAGAGTATTTCAGGAGAGGAGAGTTATAGAGGAAGGAGCGGAGTCCCTCCAGCAGTGCAGAGTATTTCAGGAGAGGAGAGTTATAGAGGAAGGAGCGGAGTCCTCCAGCAGAGCAGAGTATTTCAGGAGAGGAGAGTTATAGAGGAAGGAGCGGAGTCCTCCAGCAGTGCAGAGTATTTCAGGAGAGGAGTTATAGAGGAAGGAGCGGAGTCCTCCAGCAGCGCAGAGTATTTCAGGAGAGAGGAGTTATAGAGGAGAAGGAGCGGAGTCCTCCAGCAGAGCAGAGTATTTTCAGGAGAGATGAGTTATAGAGGAAGGAGCGGAGTCCTCCAGCAGTGCAGAGTATTTCAGGAGATGAGTTATAGAGGAAGGAGGCGGAGTCCTCCCAGCAGTGCAGAGTATTTCAGGAGAGGAGTTATAGAGGAAGGAGCGGAGGCCTCCAGCAGTGCAGAGTATTTCAGGAGAGGAGGAGTTATAGAGAAGGAGCGGAGTCCTCCAGCAGTGCAGAGTATTTCAGGAGAGGAGAGTTATAGAGGAAGGAGCGGAGTCCTCCAGCAGCAGCAGAGTATTTCAGGAGAGGAGTTATAGAGGAAGGAGCGGAGTCCTCCAGCAGTGCAGAGTATTTCAGGAGAGGAGTTATAGAGGATGGAGCGCAGTCCTCCAGCAGTGCAGAGTATTTCAGGAGAGAGGGAGTTTATAGAGGAAGGAGCGGAGTCCTCCAGCAGTGCAGAGTATTTCAGGAGTGATGTATGACGTCATATGACATTTCTGAATACATTGTACAGAGATACTTCTTTGGTAATCAGAGCTGCAAAATGATATTCAGGAAGCAAAACACATTTCCAGGTTTTATTCTAGAGGAAGAGAGAGATGTGTTTTCGGTGACACACAGAATAGTCTCTCCGGTGGTGGGGGGATGCACTGTAGTAACCTCCATCCCTCGGCCTCCATCTTCTTCTCATATGGTTGAGGGTTCTCATGTGAAGTCTGTTTCCTCCATGCGGTCACACAAACCCTGAGGGGGGAGGGGGGGATGATGACATGGACACATGTCCCTGGTCTGCGGTGATGTCACTGCTTGCTGTGCGATGGCACGAAGGGGGATCAGAGGACTGCGGTGATCCCTCTGCTGGATGAACCCTGAAATAAAAACATTTCACAATACGAATCGATTCCCCACGGATCACATACACTCTTGGCCGTCTATTCGGGTCGGAAGGCTTTGACTGTTTATTTATTTTTACTTTTTGTTTACAATTTTATTCTAATTTTATCCTCTGCAAAAAAAAAATCTGATCAATTCCTAATTGGACAATTTATACATTTCCGGGATTGTATGGGATTTGCTATACAATAAATCAGGGCATGTCCAAAGTCAGGGGTGGACCGGGGCCAATTGGGTTCCCGCGTTCCGGACTGAAACGGGCCCCACAGAGTGAGCTACCCAAATATATAACTTACGGCCCCCGGTAGTGATTCCCTGAAAGGACTGAGGACTCCAGCGATCTCTTGACATCATCAGCTGGCGCAGGAAGGAGAGCCCAAATCTCGCGACGTCCGAGATCTCGTGAGATTTGGGGGGTCCTTCTCTGTGGCCGGCTGATGACGTCAATTCCCGCTCGACAGATCCCTGGAATCCCAGTGGCGTTCGCAGGAATCACTAGTGGAGGGCCGTAAGTTATATATTGGGCTGCTCATATTGTGGGGTCCGCAACGTGGGCGCGCGGGGGGTTCCAGGTGGTGCGCAGGGAATTTACTACTGGGGGATGGCTACCATTCACCATTATTTACTATTGTCTGCAGTCTCTGGTCATCTCCTGTACTATGTCTGCAGTCTCTGGTCATCTTCCTGTACTATGTCCGCAGTCTCTGGTCATCTCCTGTACTATGTCCGCAGTCTCGGTCATCTCCTGTGTCTGTGTCCGCAGTCTGGTCATCTCCTGGTACTGTGTCCGCAGTCTCTGGTCATCTCCTGCACTGTGTACGCAGTCTCTGGTCATTCCCTGTACTGTGTCCGCAGTCTCTGGTCATCTCCTGTACTGTGTCCGCAGTCTCTGGTCATCTCCTGTACTGTGTCCGCAGTCTCTGGTCCATCTCCTGTACTGTGTCCCAGTCTCTGGTCATCTCCTGTAGTATGTCCGCAGTCTCTGGTCATCTCCTCTACTATGTCCGCAGTCTCTGGTCATCTCCTGTACTGTGTCCGCAGTCTCGCTGGTCATATCTCTATTACTATGTCCGCAGTCTCTGGTCATCTCCTGTACTGTGTCCGCAGTCTCTGGTCATTCCTGTAGTATGTCGCAGTCTCTGGTCATCTCCTGTACTGTGTCCGCAGTCTCTGGTCATCCCTGTACTGTGTCGCAGTCTCTGGTCATCTCCTGTACTGTGTCCGCAGTCTCTGGTCATCTCCTGTACTGTGTCCGCAGTCTCTGGTCATCTCCTGTACTGTGTCCGCAAAGTCTCTGGTCATCTCCTGTACTGTGTCTGCAGTCCATTGGTTCAGAATTTTTTTTTCCTTTTTTTCGCCTCTAAAACCTAGGTGCGTCTTATGGTCAGGTGCGTCTTATGGAGTGAAAAATACGGTATCAATTTGGGCTATAATGGATTGGTGCTCAGGATCGCTTGACGTCATCAGACAGTGCAAGGAGAAACAAAGCCCAAATCTCGCGACCTCCGAGATCTCGCGAGATTTGGGCTTTCTTTCTCCCTGTGCTGGCAGAGTGATTTAACACCTGTTTAGATTTGTCATCCAAGTCACAAAATGAAAAGTATGCCGTTTTCAATAAACTTTTGCATAAAATAGTTCATTTGCATTTAATGTTAATGGTTCATCAGAATGTCGGGCAAAATGGTCGGCCCTCGCACATGTTCACTTCATCAAATCTGGCACTCTTCAAAAAAAGTTTGGACACCCCTGCAATAAATGAAACGTTCGATCATTAGTGAGCGTTGTTATAGTCTGCAGGGGCGTCCCTAGGGTTGGTGTCACCCAACGCAATAACACTTGGTGACACCCCCTTCGAGGATCCTCGCAGAATGGATCCGATTGGACTCCATTATGTTCTATCCGCAGATCCGATCCATCTTGCGGGGATCATCGGCTTGCTTTACAACTTTACGTGGAGCGGATCCGGTGTCACCCCATGTGGTAGGTGTCACCCGGTGCGGCGCACCACCTGCCTAGGGATGCCTCTGCATCTATGACAAAAGTCCATCGAGTTCAACCAACAATCGTTTTCTTTTTAATCAGAACTGTCATCCGAATTGTTTTTTGTTCCTATTAAATGCAGCTCGCTGAGTGCCGTGTCAGTGTAACACTTCCAGATACACGGCTCCAAAACATGAAAGGAAGACTTTGTAATCAGAGTCTAGCATCAAGTCCATGAACCTCCTGGGATATTGATCTGGTCAGGTAAGTAGCAGAGGGGGTTGTTCATCAGTTTCAGCTGCTTTGGTGGTAATGAAATTAACAACAGGTGCACTAGGTGGGCAACAATGAGACAACCCCCAAAACAGGAATGGTTTTACAGGTAGAGGCCACTGACAGTTTTTTCCTACTCATCTTTTCTGACTGTCTTTCACTAGTTTTGCATTTGGCTAGGGTCAGTGTCACTACTGGTAGCATGAGGCCATACCTGGACCCTACAGAGGTTGCACAGGCAGTCCAACTCCTCCAGGATGGCACATCAATACCTGCCATTGCCAGAAGGTTTGCTGTGTCTCCCAGCACAGTCTCAAGATCATGGAGGAGATTCCAGGAGACAAGATCATGGAGGAGATTCCAGGAGACAAGAGCATGGGAGATTCCAGGAGATTCCAGGAGACAGGCAGTTCCTCTAGGAGAGCTGGACAGGGAAAAGTTAAAGGTCGAATTTCAAAATCAAGGGTGGTGCCATCGGAATAAAAAAATGCACAAAATTTCTGATTTTCTAAAGAAATTTTGTTCAGGATATGACTTAGGGATGGCCTGCTTTATTGCCGAAACTTCATTGGAGAAGCTGAAGTTAGAAGCTGATTGGCTGCCATGCTCAGCTGCGCCAGATTCTGAATGGTCCAGTTTTAATAAATCCCCCCATAGCGTTGTGCCATATCATGTTGTGTTATATCATGTTGTGTTATGTCATGTTGTGTTATGTCATGTTGTGTTATGTCATGTGGTGTTATGTCATGTTGTGTTATGTCATGTTGTGTTATGTCATGTGGTGTTATGTCATGTTGGTGTTATGTCATGTTGTGTTATATGATGTTGTGTTATGTCATGTTGTGTTATGTCATGTTGTGTTATATGATGTTGTGTGTTATGTCATGTTGTGTTATGTCATGTTGTGTTATGTCATGTTGTGTTATGTCATGTTGTGTTACTGTGTCATGTTGTGTGTCATGTTGTCATGTTTATGTCATGTTGTGTTATGTCATGTTGTGTTATGTCATGTTGTGTGTATTGTCATGTTGTGTATGTCACGTCGCAGTGTCTTGTCATGTTGTTTTGTTATGTTGTGTCACATTGCATTGTGTTGTACCGTGTCATGGAGTGTTGTGTCATGTTGTGTTATTTGTTGTGTCCTGTTTTGTTACTGTGTCATGGTGTGGTGTTATGTCATGTTGTATCATTTCTTTATATGTTTTGTTGTGTTATGTCATGCTATGTGGTATTGTGTTGTGTTATGTAGTGTTATGTTGTATCATGTCCTGTCATGCTACGTTGTATTGTCTTGTGACATGAATTGTTGTGGTATGTTGTGTTATGTTATGCTATTTTGTATTGTGTTGTGTTATGTCATGTTGTGTTATGTTGTACTGTGTTTTGGTATGTAGTGTCGTGTCATGTCGTATTATATTATGCTATGTTGTGTTATGTCATGTCCTGTCACATTATGCCATGCTACGTCGTGTTGTATTGTGTTGTGTCATGTCATGTTGCATTGTGTTATGTTATGTTGTGTCGTATTGTGTTGTGTCATGTGTCATGTCGTTGTGTGTTTGTGTCGTATGTCATGTCGTATTGTGTTGCATCATGTCATGTCGTATTGTGTTGTGTCATGTATTGTGTTGTGTGTCGTATTGTGTTGCATCGTGTCATGTCGTATTGTGTTGTGTCATGTAATGTCGTGTCGTCGTATTGTGTTGCATGTCATGTCATGTCATGTCGTATTGTGTTGTATTGTGTTGCATCGTGTCATGTCGTATTGTGTTGTGTCATGTAATGTCGTGTCGTATTGTGTTGTGTCATGTCATGTCGTATTGTGTTGTGTCATATTGTGTTGCGTTGTTTAGTGTCATGTCATGTTGTGTCGTGTCATGCCATGTTATATTGTGTTGCATCGTGTCATGTCATGTCGTATTGTGTTGCATCATGTCGTGTCGTATTGTGTTGCATCGCATCGTGTCGTATTGTGTTTGTGTGTCATATTGTGTTGCGTTGTGTAGTGTCATGTCATGTTATATTGTGTTGCATCGTGTGTCGTGTCATATTGTGTTGCGTCGTGTCGTATTGTGTTGCGTCGTGTCGTATTGTGTTACGTCGTGTCGTATTGTGTTGCGTTGTGTCGTATGTGTATGTCATTTTTATATGTGTTGCATTGTGTCATGTCGTGTCATATTGTGTTGCGTCGTGTCGTATTGTGTTGCGTCGTGTCGTATTGTGTTGCATTGTGTCGTGTTTGCATTGTGTCGTATTGTGTTGCGTCGAGTCGTATTGTGTTGCGTTGTGTCGTATCGTGTTTGCGTTGTGTCGTATTGTGTTGCGTGTCGTGTCGTATTGTGTTGCGTCGTGTCGTATTGTGTGTTGCGTCGTGTCGTATTGTGTTGCGTTGTGTCGTATTGTGTTGCATTGTGTCGTATTGTGTTGCGTCGAGTCGTATTGTGTTGCGTTGTGTCGTATTGTGTTGCGTCGTGTCGTATTGTGTTGCGTCGTGTCGTATTGTGTTGCGTTGTGTCGTATTGTGTTGCGTCGAGTCGTATTGTGCGTTGTCGTATTGTGTTGCGTCGTGTCGTATTGTGTTTGTATTGTGTCGTGTCGTATTGTGTTGCGTGTCGTGTCGTGTCGTATTGTGTTGCGTCGTGTCGTATTGTGTTTGCGTCGAGTCGTATTGTGTTGCGTCGTGTCGTATTGTGTTGCGTCGTGTCGTATTGTGTTGCGTCGTGTCGTATTGTGTTACGTCGAGTCGTATTGTGTTGCGTCGTGTCGTATTGTGTTGCGTTGTGTCGTATTGTGTTGCGTGTGTCGTATTGTGTTTGCGTCGTGTCGTATTGTGTTGCGTCGAGTCGTATTGTGTTGCGTCGAGTCGTATTGTGTTGCGTCGTGTCGTATTGTGTTTGTCGTATTGTGTTGCGTCGTGTCGTATTGTGTTGCGTCGTGTCGTATTGTGTTGCGTCGAGTCGTATTGTGTCGTGTCGTTGTGTTTACGTCGTGTCGTATTGTGTTGCGTCGTGTCGTATTGTGTTGCATTGTGTCGTATTGTGTTGCATTGTGTCGTATTGTGTTGCGTCGAGTCGTATTGTGTTGCGTCGTGTCGTATTGTATGGTGTCACATCGTGCAGGTGTAGAATATTTGCAGACTCCCCAGCTTGCTGTGAGCTGTGGCTGGACTGGTGTATCACGTTCTATGGCGGCTCTCCAGAATCACCAATCCCAGCTCTGTGGCTGGTGTCAGCCGAGGTAACAAGTGGGACGATAATTCCAGACGCCCCGGACCCCCCACTTTATAGCAGCCTGCGGTTTCCTCCCAGAGGAAGTGGCCCTCACAGCCGCTCTGGATTAACTCTTCCTGTGACTGAACTGAGGGCCGCACGCCTTATAAATTCCACATGGGGCTCACAACTCGCTGAAGGTGCCCATGGAGTGTTAGTGCCGCCAACAAATCCCCTCCTTCTCCTATTATCTAATATTATCAGATGCACTGATTGTCATGGATGAGTTACGTTGTTACGAGATACAAAGTGACAATCCCACCTGCAATCTCCTGTGCGGATCAGAGCCGACACCCTGTGACATTGTAACCAGAAAAAATCATTCCGCATAATTTGTATATTGCTTGATGACGTCACACTGACCCACCAATCAGAGCGGAGACCGGAGATCTCATTATGAAAGAAGAAAAGCAAATCTAACAAATGAAATATCGAATTACATAAGAACAGATCTAGGGGGGTGCTGGGGTGGGGGCTGTGTGCCCCCAGATTTTAGCTGTGCCCCCCTCAAGGTCTCTGAGAGTGCATCCACTAATCCACGAGACAGTCTGATGCAGACAGTTGATGTAAGGGGACACTCTGATGGGGGATGGGGATATCTGATGTAAGGGGGCACTCTGATGGGGGATGGGGATATCTGATGTAAGGGGCACTCTGATGGGGGATGGGGACACCTGATGTAAGGGGGCACTCTGATGGGGGATGGGGACACCTGATGTAAGGGGGCACTCTGATGGG